AGGGCAAACTGTGGCAATCTTTGATTTATCTTTTCCATTTAACTAAATGATTTCATTGTTAGCATGATGAGAAAGGAGAAGAAATACTCTTTGTCGTATTTAACCAGGAGATCTTACTCAATGTGTACATGTACACATGTACAATGTGTACATGTACATGTACAGTACATGATGCATGTTGCATAACGTAACTGATTGCATTAATCCATACCCAGACTTCAGAGGGAAGGGTAACCAATCTGTGAAAGGATTTATGCTGTGACTAGGGAGAAAGATGGACTTCATAAGAAGTAAAGAAATTAGCTTTTACATGTGAGTCAGTGACCAGTGTATCACTTGTTATAGCTCACCACAGAACTATGCATTCAAGGTATACTAATGAAACGTGTACAAGGAAGCAGAACAACAAGTAGGACTGCCACACTGGACTTCAGGAAAGCTAACTTTGCCTCTTCAGGGACCTACTTGGAAGAATTCCATAGGCTAAGGCTCTTGAAGGTAGGGGAGTCCAAGAGAGCTGACTGCTATTTAAGCAGCTCTTCCTCCATGCTCAGAATTGGTGCATCCCCGTGAGTAGGAAATCAAGTAAATGAGGCAAGAGACCTGCATGGATGAACAAGGAGCTTCTAGTGAAACTCAAAGAAAAGAGTAAGCTCTATGGAACGTGGAAAGAGGGTCAGGCCACTTGGAAGGCATACAGGAATTCTGTCAGAGCATGCAGGGAAGCAACTAGAAAGGCCGAGGTCTACTTGGAACTAGATCTGGCGAAGGATATCAAGGATAACAAGAAGGGCTTCTTCAAGTACATCAGCAGCAAATGGGGAAATGTGGGACCGCTGCTGAATGAAGTGGGTGCTCTGGTGACGGAAGATATAGAGAAGGAGGAGTTACTGAATACCTTCTTTGTTTCAGTCTTTACTGCCAAGGCTGGCCCTCAGGCTTCCCAGTCCTTAGAGGTAAGTGAGCAAGCCTGGAGAACGGATGACCTGCCCTTGGTTGAGGGGACCAGGTTAGGCTTCCCAGTCCTTAGAGGTAAGTGAGCAAGCCTGGAGAAAGGATGACCTGCCCTTGGTTGAGGTGGACCAGGTTAACGATCTTTTAAGTAAGCTGGACACCCACAGATCCATGGGTCCCAATGGAATGCACCCACAAGTGCTGATGGAGCTGGCAGAAATCATTGCTGAGCCACTCTCCATCATGTACGAAAGGTCCTGGAGAACAGGAGAGGTGCCTGAGGACTGGAGGACAGCCAATGTCACTCCAGTCTTCAAAAAGGGCAAGAAGGAGGACCCAGGGAACTACAGGCCAGTTAGTCTCACCTCCATCCCTGGGAAGGTG